GGGAGGGAGGGAGGGAGGGAGGGAGAGAGAGAGAGGTACAACGACGACGCGTTCTGGATATGAAACTTTACAACATGTACACATCGGCACATCGGAGGCTGGGCTGCGCAGAGTCCGCGTGCTCCTGGACCGCGGAGCCGGTGGAGCTGTGGAGCTGGTGGAGCAGATTAGGGAAATGGCCGCGGAGATAAATTCGTTTAGGAGATGATGGATGTCGCCGGGCGGGGCAGGGCAGGACGCGCGGATAGTCGCACAGTACGACACGCCACTGGGCCGGGGCAGAGTGTGGCTGGGTGGCGTCTGGGTCCATCCAGGACCGGCGGGTATCGGGTTCTGCCCCGTTGAGTTATAGCGAGGCATTGTGTGTGTGTGTGTGTGTGTGTGTGTGTGTTGTCCCCTGCTTCATTTTGGCGCCCTGCCGTTACTCACGCCTGGAAGAGGTGTATTGGAAGATGTGGCCAGCCTAATCCACCCAAATAACGGACCACACACACACACACACACACACACACACACACACAGAGTTTCTGATATTTATACTATTTTCGTACCTATTGTCCCGCTTTTGCCGTGATGTCTCCTCTCATCAGTGTATATAGTATGGCGCCTGTGTGTGAGAGAGACACACTTTGTGTGTTTGTGTGCGTGCCCGCGTGGGGAAATTCGACATGGCCGGGCTTGTCATGTCGAGTGTCGATTTGCATGGAAATGACCAGAGCCGTGCGGAGCTCGGGCGCGCGCGCCGGGCGCTCGGGGGGGCGCGACCCGCCCGGGACCCGCCGCCCCGCACCGTAGGGTCCACAAAGTTACGACTTCCGCGGGGCCATTGTGTCCCCCAGCTCCAGCGCTGCTGCTGCTGCTGCTGCTGCTGCTGCTGCTGCTGCTCCGGCTGTCGCGCCCCGGCGGCGGGGACCGCGCGGTGGACCACCTCCGGCGTGTCCACCTCCGAACTCTGGACCAGGCAAAATTGCCATATTCCACATTTTATTTAAAATTGTGGCAACTTCAAAAAACAAACCTCGACCTTACGCTCTAAAACGTCAATTTGTGACCACTTTCCTTGCCCAAAATTTGGCAATTTCCTTTTCGAGTGCTTAACTGGCGCTCGTGCTCTCAGTGGTTTTAGTGTGTTTTTGTGCGGCAGTGTCTTGCGCGGACGGAGAGCTGTAATTGAGTCGAGCAGCTCGTGTTCCTGGTGGGCGGACTCTTTTCTAACGCCGCTACACTACTGTGACATGCCCGCTGACCGCAGCGCAGCCCCAGCAGCAGCCGGCGGGGAGTCGTCGTCTATTCCAGACCAAGTCGAGACCGCAGCACAGTCGCGGCGCTGCTGCTGCTGCTGTCTGTGTGGCGGTCCGTCCGTCCGGCGGGTGGGACGGACGACGGACGGACGGACCGGCAGAGCAGACCATCTCCGCTCCTCTTCCAGTCCACCGGGTTGGACTCGCCCGCTGCGCGGTGGGCGCGAGTGGCGCAGCGGGGCGGACCGAGGCTCGTCTGCTGCTGCTGCTGTTTCGGGACTTCTCCGAAGGCCCCCCCGTCTGTATTTCTTTTTACATACTAAGAGGAAATTGAATTCGTATTGTGTCTCTTGTGAAAACGACTTGGTGGCGGCGGGCGGACCTGGCATTATGTGACACCTCTCTCTTGCTCCTCTTCCCACCTCTCACTCTTCCTCTTTGCCTCTCTCTCTCTCTCTCTCTCTCTCTCTCTCTCTCTCTCTCTCTGTCCCCGTCTCCTTGCGGAACAATACGGAGGAATCCTTCAATCTCAAGTTTACGGTCTGCGCTCGCACGCGCCCGCCCGCCCTGCCCGTCGCCTCGGTCCAACACTCCAACACGCCACACCCGAAAGGACATTATTCGTCGCATTTGATTTGTAATACCGTATATGGGAACGTAAAAACGGAACCCAGGGAGTTCTTTGTGACCGTCGACCTCGACCTCGGGACCGGATCGCCTTGAAGTAGTCGGTCGTCCCTTCGGCTCCTGTGTTTTCGTACACGAGCACAGTAAATCCAAACGAATTGACGTCTCGTATCTGCAGGATAAGCGAATGGCAAATTTCAAACCGTCAAAGTTTTTCATCTGCAAAGGAGAAAAGGTCGTTTGCTCACCTGTAGAATAGAATGCAAAAGTGTGAAGTTGACATCATTGCAACTCAGTAGGTGTGCACTTGCAAGTGTGCAACTCCTCGGTTGAGCACTTCCTACACAGTGAGCGTTCAATCTAGGGAAGAGTTCAACCGAGGAGTTGCACACTTGCAAATGCACACCAGCCGAGTTGAACACTTGCAAGTGTAAGACTTACGGAGTTGCACAGTTGCAAGTGTTCAACTTGCATTTGCACACTTACAAGTGTTGAGCAGTTGAATACTTAGTCTATCAGTGCATAGACCAGCCCAGTGAACGCTGAACCTGCACCCGCTTGTCCCAAAACCTATAACATCGCACTATTACATGAACTCGGCTTCGCTTTTTCCTCTTCCTGCTCGCGACCCCGCGTGACCCAGAACAGCGGGGCGCTGTCCGTGTAATTGCCGCAGTGTCTCTGCGGCGAGCGCGTGTGCCGCGGCCCGCGCGCTCCGGTCGGGCACTGAATGTGTATCAGCATCGAGAAAGTCCCCCGCCGCTCGCGCGCGCGACCGCGGTTCCCATCGAGGCTCGGCACAAGGCGGGCAAACGGCGTTGTGTCGATTGTTTGACGTGGGAAATGAGAGGCACAGAGCGGCCGCGAGGTATCGAATTACGTCCGGGAGGAAAAAAACGCGACGTCCCCCACTGCCACCTTTATTGAAATTAACCCCCGCCTCTCTGCTTGCCCGCGCGACAGGAAAAAAGAGTATCGCTGCACGACCCCTCCCGCTTCTCCGCTTTTGGTTTGGAGTTCACTTGCGGAACGGTGAAGCTGCGTTTTATCGGACGCGGTTGTCGCGTCCTTCTATACTTTTTTCCCCATCGACTAATCTCTTCAATGATGTTTATTCATGGTCCAGGGAGTAGTAGCGAGGCTGATGGCCGTCCGAGCGCGACCCCGCAGCAGCGGGCCAGCCAGAGGAGAGTGCGAGAGGGACAGAGGCCGCTGGATATCTGTTTCTCTCTCTCTCGCCGCCGTTCTGGACGCTCTGTTCGCTGTTGCTGCTGCTGCCTCTGTGATTTCTCTCCATTTTAAAAGCAAGTGGTGAGAGAAGCGCGCTGCTTTTAGATGGTGTAAACGCTGCGCCTTCCGCATGCGGGCGGCAGAGGACAATCACGGCCGAGTCCCGCGAGCCGCCCATGCTCTGCCTCCCCCCCCCCCCAATCACCAACCCCTTTCCGCCCGCGTCATGAGAAACGTGCAGGCGCGTAACTCGCACTGCGTAGTTTGTTATTAAGTCGTAACTCGATCCGGGGGTGATAGCGATGCTGATGCGTTTAAAAACCGCTCGGCCGGGCCTCTCTGCTCCGCGCTGTCGCCGTCCATCACGAAATGTTTTGCGCGCGACGCTAACTTGTTTGCAGAGCCAGGCAGGTAATCGCAGAGGGCTGCTGCGGCCGTGGGGCGTACGTACGGGCAGTGCGGCTGGGGGGCGTACCTACGTACGGACGTACGGGCCCGGGGGTCGTGATGAAGCTCGGCAGATTAAAAAGGAGGGACACAAAAAGCAGGAGGGAGATTGCTCGCGCGCCGCTCCTTGCATAGTATATTTATTCGAGTCATAAGTCAGATCTTGTCATTGCCGCCCGTCTAATGACCGGCCTTATCTCTCGATCGTAATCTGGCGGTATTAAAGGTCTAATTGGATCATACTTTTGCGGTCGACCGCACCGGGCCCGGTGCAGCCCGGCGGCGGCTCCATCGCGCCGATTGGTTTGATAGCGCTTCAATTTCTCATAGTGGCTGCGGTTCGAGTGACAGTCTAACTAATACTTTGGCACGGCCCCCTTTTTCCTATCGCTGTGAGTCACCCGCGGGACAAAGTGTTTACTCCAAGGTCCCTCTTGGCCGGACTGTGCGCTCCAGAAGGCCACGCTGATAACAGTGATGAGAAAAAAAATAAAAATTGGCATCTCTCTCCTAATAAATATGACAACAAGAAATAAAACGACGTTTCAGGGGCGCATTACGGAGTACATTACAAGCAGCGCTGGAAGTAGTGTCTCACCGGGTGGCCCCGGCTCAGTGAGCTGCTGCTGACCGAGGCGGAGCGATGAGGCATTGCCTTGATTTTAGTCGGCCACCTGTAACAGACGTGAGGTGGTGGCCTGCCAGGGGGTGGGCAGACTGTCGGCCTGCCCCAACCAGGGTCAAGTTACGTGGAGGGGGCGCGTGTAGGTGTGTGCCTGTTTTGTGTGTGTGCGAGAGAGAGAAAGAGTGCGCGCGCTCTGCAGCCGTGTCAAATGGACCATGCAAAGGGCTTCATACCGCCCCATATCTCGAGCATCATTTCACCCCTGGAATTTACCGAACAACCGTCTGGCTTCGGTATAGCTATGCATAGCTTCTACTATCACATGCTTTGTCCCTTGGAACATGAGAGGCAGCCTAATTTTCCTTGTTCTTTCAAACGCAAGCGTAGGACGGTTCTACTCTTGATAGAGTGATACAAAAATTTCTACAAATTTCCTTCCACAGTGGTACACTAATATACTCCAAGCTGGCCTGGTTTCTCTCACGTCAAGTTTTTCCAATCTTGCAAGAGAAAGAAGCGTGTCGTACTCTTTCAAGTAGACTAGGAATAGTTTTCCTTGCATTTCTTTTAGACAATTTGTGTTGGCGTATTGGGAACGTCTTGAGTAGGAGGAGGGAGTAGGCCTCTCTGTGTTTTGTTTTTGTGTTTTGTTGTGGACGGTGCATGGCCCGCTCCCCCGCAGAGTCTCCTAGGTCAAGTCATCCGGCGACCTCGGGTGGGCGTAATATGATGTGGAAGAAATGTAAAGGATGACCTCAGCAGCATCCCTCCGAGTCCCCCCCCCCCCACCCCTCTCCCAACCCTTCGTTCTTTCGGCCCATCGAATCGGACGGCAGGGCTTCGGCGAGGTTAGTTTACTCGGGTGACGTGTGCGCGCGCGCCCAGACAACAACACTACCGTCATCGCCGTCAGGGCGGTTCTTGTCGTGGCCACATGTGCCTGTGTGCGTGTGTGTGCGTGTGTTCTGCGGATATACCTCACAAGATCCGATTGTTTCTTGTCCACTAGGCAGTCACGAGGAAAACTCTCTTTCTCTATACTTTCGCTTCTCTCTGTCTCTTTAACTCTTCTTTTATCGAATGCTAGGTGTTACTTCTGTGTGTGGGGAGAGACAGAGAGATGATATTGATATGCCGCTGCGCGCAGGAGCCCGTCTCATTGCAGGACGGATCGGCCTTGCAGGACGTGTCTATCCGTCTGTCGCCGCGCAGACCGGATAGAGCCAGAGCCGCCCGCCGCCTGTTTGTTTTTGAAGGCTGAAGTTATGACCACCGCTTCGAGACAAGCTAATTTTGTGTCCGCGACGCACCGAAAGGACAACACATATATAGCGTCGGCGGTGCGAGGTGAGAAATGTCAGAGGTGAAAGGTGTGAGCCCGATCAGGTTCCCCGCGGCATTCTAGAGACTTTTCGACGATGAACACTAATCTTTACTCAAGATCTTTCCAGACCAAAAGATCACATAAAACGTCACACATTTGGTGCGAAATTGAATAGTTAAATAATTTTATTTGAGCGTGCGCTGCTGGACGTGCCTGGTTGTAGCCGCATAGTTGGACCAAAAGGGGGAGGGGGTATTGTGGGTAGCAGTGACTTGCGCCCCGGGGACCCCCAAGGAGAGTTGCTTTTGTCCAAGACAATGGCCCCGACCGACTGCACCCGCACCACCACCGGGGCGCGCCGCCGGGCCAGCGGCGCACAGAAATGTAACAAATTGATGCGACGAAGTGAAGCTGAAGGATCATTATTCATGGAGATAAGTATACTGCCCCCTACCCCCACTCCCTCTCTCTTTTCTTAAGTCGCAACGAGATTGAGCAGTGGGGAGGTGTGGGTGGAAGTTTAGGGGGGTGTTGGTAATGATAAGATAATACAGGTGCGAAAAAGCAGAAATGAGGAGCAACGATGAACTTTTTGTGTGTTGGCTTTTCCACCCTGGTATTTAGGTGTAACGCTGTGCAACGCGGCCCCGCCGGTAATATGCTGTCTGCGCTGTTCGGGCGTGGCGTGGCGTAGTGCAGTCGGCCAAGTTATTGGTTTTGTATTTTTCCCCAAAGCTGCGCGTCCGTGGCGAGGCCCTAGCCCCCTGTCTCATTACACTAATTAACTAGACGGTGCAGCCCGGGGCCTAGACTCTGGGAGACTGCATGATGCGGCGGAGTTGGAGAGGAGGGAATTCCATCTCCCCTTCTATTGGGTCTGGCTGCCCTGCAAACCACCCTGGAGCTGCTTACCTCAGCTCTTCGGTTTGTGTGACACGGCGCTGGCCGACCACGCCCCGCCGCGCCCCGCGCTTGTTGTGTACAGAGACAAAGGGGCAGGCTGCTTAGCACCCCGCGCCATTGTCTGCCCAATCTCGCCGAATCT